ATATATATTTATTTTCCTTTTTCCTTCTAGGTACTTAGCTTGTATAACACAATCAATCCAGAAGCATCCGCATCTCCGTGCTGTGTATCCCAGGATCTAGAACCGCTCACTATCTTGTATTACATTGGCAAAACACCCAAAATTGAACAGCTTTCAAACATGATTGTAAAGTCTTGCAAATGCAGCTAAGGGATGTATGGAAGCATTTTGGAGTGTGTACATTTTTTTTCTCTGGAAAGTAAGGAAGAAAAAGAAACATTCAAAAAGAAAGAAACGGAAAGAACACATCATCCATGTTTTTTTTTTAAAAAAGAAAAAAAGCGGTACTAGTCCGAATGGATTGAGAGTTTATTTCATTGTTTTGTGTTTTGTTTTTAAACAGTCATCTGATGCAAAACCGTGAAGACCTTATCCTACATTTCATCTACTTGGTTAGTGAGATAGACAAGAAGCATTTTTTAGGAAAGCAAAAATACTAACAAGAAAGAAAGAAAAAAGAAAGAAAAACCTTTTTAAAAATAAACACTGGAAGAATTTGTTAAGAGTTCTTATGTGAAAGGAAAAAAACAGGAAAAACCCCATTAAGTGGAGTTGCTGTATCTATCCCGTGGCTTACTTGATCTTTGTATTGTTATGCCATAGATACCCTATCTGTTCCTTGTAGTTTTTAGAATTAACAGTGCATTATTTATTTTTGTGTAATACGATCAAACAAGAATATGTATTGCCATAGGGTTTGGGGGACAGAGAAGAAAAACAGAAATGTTCAGACCAAATAAATGGCTAGAAATGTGTTTAATACCTGGGGAACACAAACTCGGAAATATTCTGAAATCAATGATTAGTTTAACCCAGTTAAAACAGAACTCTGTTGTTTCGTTATTAAGAACGTCTACTTCAAAAGAAAAGCCACACACACCTTGTTTTCTTGCCGAAAGCCTAGGAAGGCTTCTATGTAAAGCCTTTTGCCATTCTTTTAATACTGAAGAGGTTATTAATAAAGGACGTTTTGTTTTCGTCTCAAAGACAAGTCTATTAAGATTAAAACAACAACTACAAATGAATAAACAATCAATTTAGTAAGCCAGTGAAATATTTAACATGTACTGGTCTCATCTTCAGACCCTAATATGTTGCTGTATAACTATTGCTTTGAGATTGTTTTTGGTATATGTAACCACACCTATAGTATTAAAATAGGGTGGGTAGTAAGAAGCCAGCTAATTTGGAAACATATCTGTAGATCTCTATTGTAAACTATTAAAAAATTAAGTACTTTATGTGTAATGTGTAAATTCTCACCATATTTTTGTATTCTGTTAATACTGTCAACTCTGAAGAATTTGAATTTGGGGGCTCTTGTTGATTACTCAGAATCATGTGCTTCCCTTGAGCTGGCCAGTATAAGTAGAGTCCCCTGTACTTTTAACTTGCACTACAAATACATGTTTTATAATATTTGCTATACACGCGTTTTGTATGTTGTTTTTCATCTTTATGACCTAAGTTACCTTTTCTTCCTTTCAGCCTGTATGTAGACAGAGGGATAGATTTAAATATTGTTTTGTATAAAATGTATATATCTTCAAACATCTTAAAACTCTGAACTTCACACCTTTCTGGAGTTGGGGGATGGGATGAGACCAGAGTCTGCCTTTGGCCATCTTGTTCCGCTCACAAGCAGTTAGTCCAGAGACAGGATCTGCCAGATCAGAAGGCACCGATGGCCTGGGCAATTCTGATGGGACTGTGCAACATCAGAGCAAAAGGCTGGTTACATGTGCAACTGCAAAAAATGTCTTTCATTGCTTAAAAGGGTACTGTAATAGGACCCGTTAATTAAATTGGAGTTTAATTTAAAGGAAAGGAAGGATGATGTGCTATCTCTCTGCTCCAACATAGACACTTTCTAAGAGAGTGGTAGTTTCAGCAACCAGCTTCTTGGTACAGTGGGGCAGACAGAAAACAACTGAATGTTGTCTTTTTCCTCCTCAACAGAGCCCAGTTGGCAGGATTTGGGGATATAGGAATTCATTAAAGCTTATGTGTGCCCTTTGGAAGTTGGACAAAACTGAGTAGCTGTACGTTCACCGCTCATTTACACATACAGATATACACTGCCCTATCTAGCTAGATATACACAGGAAGGATCTTGCTTCTCAACCTGTGCTCTCCACAGTTGGATTTGGGCATTCTGGAAGTCATAGTATGGTGAAGAAAATCATACCTGTTTAATGTTGATTTAGTTCAAGAAACATTAGCTTTTGATGATTTAGGGTTTTTTTCCCCCAGAAATGTTAAGGCTGGGGCAGGAACATGTCAGATATATGAGTTTTACACCAAGGTAAATACAGTCCCTAGGTATTTTGCTTGAATATTGTAATCCAATGGTACCAAAGTAATATTAAATGAAATTATGCCCTATATTGAATACAAATAATTGTCACATAAATCACATTTAACTTATTTAAACATGTCTTTTCCAAACTGGTGGCTTTAACTTCCATAAATCTCACCCAGCATTAGCCAATCCTTTAAGCTTTATTCAACTGAATCTTATTCCTAGGTAACATATCCAGGATTGTAGCCTAAATTGGATTTAACCCTAACAACAAATTACTGAATCATTTTTTCCAACCCTCCAAGATTTAAACTTAAACATGCTATAGACTAAAGCCGTATTCAGAAAGAAGGGCACTTTTTTTTAATGATAAATCATTTGATGAACCTAAGTCATTATTAAGAAGCTTTACTTATCTTTCCTGGAGACAGTGAACTAATTGTTCACAAAATTGTCTTTCTCAAATCACCAGCCTCACAACTGATTTATAAGATCAGGCATTTTATCTGTATATAATTCATTGTTCTCCTGATCACTTTTTTTTTTTTTTTTTTTTCCATTTCTTCATTAAAAGAAACTAATAAAATTACAGAAATGCCTTTTTTTCCTTTTCAAATTATTTTAAACTGCTTTAGAAGTGGAAAACTTTTCAGTGTTTCTCTTCTATAGGAATCTACATCCCTCAACATAAGCATTCATATGTAATTTCTGATTATTATTTATTTTACAGTTTTTATAGTGTGCTCAAATCTGATTCTGGACAAGTTGCATAACATACATACACACACACACACACAAATCACCCTGCCCCATGGACATCAATGACAATTATATTTTAATTCTGAAATTCTAAATTCTGAGCTCAAAACCTTATAGATATCTTACCTTCGATATATAATTCTGTGCATGTTTATTCCAAAAAGAAGTTCAAGACTGTTTGATAGGCTTACTCTCAATAGCTGTACATGAGTATCTGAATGACAGCAATCTAAAAGCCACCACTTACTGGTGCACATCTAAACGGTTGAGAAATAAATATTTATGAAGAGATTACATTTTTGGGAACAGATATATAATTAATCTGAGATCATTAGAATTCACATGAACATCAGCAGTCATCAGTTTTCAGATGTTCCTTGTAATGTATAAAAAATAGATCAGTTAATCATATTTTAAGTTCTGCTTTGATATGCATCAAAGCATGTCAATTAAATGAAAATAATGTTACAAAATATAGGGGAAGAGTAGGATTTGGGTGTATATTTTATTTGGGAGGGGGGGGTAGCAGTGCAGAGATGGTGATTTGGGGCTAAAATTGCCATCCTCCAGCTATTTCTTTCTCAAAGTGCTATTAGTAGTAAAGAGAACCTTCAAGACAGCCTAGGAGAGGGATTTTGGTGAAAATTAGTTCATGGACACCATTCCGATTGTGAACACATTTGAGTTCAGGGCCTTATTTCAAGTTTTTTCTTTCAAATAACAGAGGCCAGACATTTTAAAACAGCAAATAGCATAATACAGTGGTACCTCGGGATACAAACGCCTTGACTAACGAACTTTTCGGGTTACGACCAGCCCCAGCCGCAAAAATTTACCTCGATGTGCGAACTCCGCCTCAGGGTACGGTCATTTTTCCGCCCCTGACACGTGGTCCGCGGCCGTTCTTCCGC